CCCCGGGACCCCGCGAGGCCAGCTCGGAGGGGTGGGGGTGGCATGTCGGGATCAGTCTCGGTGGACAGTGTCCGCAGGGCGCAGGCCGAGGTCAACCTGCGCTGGAGTCGCGAGCCGAGGCCTTTAGGGAGCCGGCTGGCGGTGCATGGTTGCCGGCCGATCTCGGCCCTCCTTCAGCACTTTTTAGCCTGTGGGCAGGTATTAGGTGCTCTATTAAGTACGGTGAACGCAGCGCTGCTGAATTTTGTACGCGCGCGTGCTTAGCCTTGCCTGGCAGATTTGCTGGGTTTCGATCAATTTTCAATCAGTGTTTTGCGTACGTTTAAGCACTAGGTGGGCTGGTTCTGGGTCTGAAGTCGAGGGTTAGACGTGTGAGGAGTCCCACCCAGCTCGGCCTGTGCCACCAGCGCCGAAGCCTGTTCGGATCTTGTCCGGCTCATCGCCCCCCAAAGTTCTTTAAACTCAGAAGCACTTACCTTCATTAAAAACAACAAAATCCCTCGTGACGGTTTGTGGGCTCTTTTTCTGATCCGTTCCTTTGTTTATCACTCCACCTTTTGCTGTAAGGTCTTTGAAGGCAGGAAGGTGTACGTGTGTTTTTAGTATCCCCCTCACTCCACCCCAGCACTGCAATAAAGCTACTTGTATGAGGCTCTAGAATTGAAAAAAAAAAAAAAAAAAGGATTAGTTAGGGCAAAGCCATGCTTAAAGCAGTGCTTACTCAATCTGACATATTTAGAAAGTAAATAAACTTAAGGGTTTACGTTTAAAGTGAAGTGAAATTGACATAAAACCAACCAACACTTTAGAAGTAGATGCACGTTTAAAAATTCTGGACCAAGACGTTTATCCCACCTTGCGACTCTTACGTATTCCTTGAGCACCCACTCTTGGCTCTGCTCTGCTATGTGTTTTGCGAGGGCGCTAAACTGCTGTCTGTTTTTCTAAATAAGCCATTTATAGTTTCTAATGTTTTGCTACGTGCTCGGCCAGGCATTCATGTGTGCGCCATGTATTGTATATGTGAATGTAGTCGAGTGTGTGTTATAGAGGCAAAGTCCACGTCTTCAAGGGCCCTCCAGGCTTTTTACTAAGAGATTATGGTGGTATGCGGGATAGTGTATCGATTTGGTGTAATCCTAAATTGGTTGGCCCTGCCTCAGTTTCCATTTGTCCAAATTTATTTTTTTCTTCTAGTTTTAACAGTAAAGCTTGATCATAGTAGAAAGCATAGAAAATATAGAAACAGTATAAAAAGTAAAAATTAGCTGATGTACAATTACCAGAGATAATTCCTACTGATGTTTGGATGTCTGTTTTGTGTGTGCATATGAAACATTTTTACAAACTTAACATTGTGATACGGTTTTCAAGTCTAGGTCTTTTTGTTTGGTTGGTTGAATTTTTTGCTTTTAAAAAAAGGTAAATAGGTACCTAGTGACTCTACTGATGATTTGTCACTTTCAGTAGTTTTCCCCATTACTTGAAGGGGCACGTCACGACATCCTCTGAACTAAAAGAATTACAGTATTTGATTCCTTCTGTTTTTCACAAGCAGAATTTATTGATTACTGTTTAAATTTAGCATAGGTGACCCAATGGGATAGTTTCTGAATAACAAGCAGAATTGTTCCAAGTGTTGAGACATACTGAACTGTAATTTTGATTTCCTTAACAATTTTTACATTTTAAGCACGTGGTTACCACATAATTTCATTTGGTACAAATGATAAACTGTTAAAACATCCTGTCATTGCAATGTTGCAATTGTTTAGCCAGAGTCTGTTTTAAAATTGAAGGCTGACGTACTTTGACCTATTACCACTAAAATACACAGTCTTCCCCCAGCCATCTCCACCCCAGAGTGTGGACACACCCTGTCCAGCCATTTGTGTGATTTTCACAAACAATTTATTGATTACTGTTTAAATTTATCATTGGTGTTTTAATAGATTAGCAAATGTGAGAATTTCGTTCGATGTCTAGGAAGAGACAGTGAGTTAAGAAAAAGGAAGTGTTTGCTACAGCTGAATCTTTGCAGAGTGGTCCCACTGGAATTCTTCTGGGGTATTGGCTGAGGGTAGGAAGGTGGGAGAGAGCTTTTCTGACTCTATTATTTTGGTCATTCTCGTTGAAGCATTCATCTCCCTCTCTGACATTATACTGTTTACATGAATTACTGCTAAAGGGTATCTGGCCTCTGGCCTTCTTTTTTCATTCTTAAAGTTATAACCTTAGTCCAAAACTTAAGTGGAACATTCTGAGCTGGTGCCTTTCCAGTTAATTTTTTGCAGCCTCTTCTGTGACACTAATGCTTCACTGTTAGTACTGAAACTTCATTTCCACTGCCTCTCCAAAGTCCTTCAGTGGCTTCCCACTGCCCAGACCTGTATAGGTTTTTAATTTGTTTGGGTTGTAGGAAGCAGCTGGAAGTAGGTTCTTTTTGGATGACTTTGAAATATTTTGGAGAATTGGCATTGGGGAAATTGAGAGGGAGGAGAGTGGCTATAGATAGTCCCAAGTCACAATTACAGCAAGACTAGTTAAAATGTGGAAAAACACTCATTATAGAATTGTAAAATCAATACTGGGCAATGCTTTAAGAACCCCAAACATATAGATGGCTGAAAGGTCACTACCTGGGAAAATAGTCTGTATCATTATCCATGTCTTAGTTGAACTCTCATTTCAGCATCAGAACACTGAGGCCAAACACTCACTTTTGTTACCCACATGCTTCACTCTAAGGTCTGGCTCTCTGGTTGCTACCACAGCCTCTTTCCTGCCATCCCTGAGATCTGTGCTGTCCAGTACGGTTACCAGTAGCCACACATGGCTGTGGAGCACTTGGAACATGGCTGTGAGTGTGAAATACATGCCAGATTTTGGGATGTAGAATGAAAAAAACCAAGAAATATTTCCATTTCTGAAATAATGATTACATGTTGAAACGATACTATGTTGCATATACCAGGTTACATAAAATACATCGTTGCAATTAATTTCGTGTTTCTACTTTTAAAAAATGTGGCTGCTAAAATTTAAAATTATGTATGTGGCTTGCCTGATACATCCACTGAACAATGCGGCCTTGGGCTTAGTCCCTGGGGCAGGGCCTTCCCAAGTGGCAGTATCTCTATACAATGTATCATCTTTTTGTTTCCACCGTTTCAATGAACAGATGCTGCTAATATGTAGATGTGTCTGGTTTTTTTTAGTTCTTATGATAGCTCTCACAGAAGCATTCTTATTCTTTTATAAATTTTTTATTTATTGAAGTACAGCCAGTTACAGTGTGTCAGTTTCTGATGTACAGGAAAATATGGAACGCTTCACAAATTTGCATGTCACCCTTGCGCAGGGGCCATGCTAATCTTCTCTGTATCGTTCCAATTTTAGTATATGTGCTGCTGAAGTGAGCACCTTATTCTTTTGAAGAATACCTTAATCTTTAAACCACTTTCAGGTAATTGAGTTAACTGTTACTGAATTAATACATTCAATTAATCATTTGAACTTAAAATAATAAAATGATATCTGTTAAGCACATAATCCATTAAAAGAAAAGTTGAGCTAAGCATAATCAGCTGAATTTTCCCACACTTGGTTGGCTACTTATTCACTGATTTTTTTTTTTAAATAATGTATTATTTTTCAAAGATTTAAGAAATATTTCTGGGAGAAACTTGAAATTGAGAAACTTAAGCTCACAATTTTTTTCTCTCCTGTGATTAAAGAAAAGACCACAATAGTTTGCTTCTAAGTGTGGAACACTTTGGAGCAGCTCATGGGACAACTATCCTTTTAAACACAGAATTGTAACCTACAGATAAAATCATGTTCTTTTTATACCAGTATTTGAAAACACTCACTGTGTTGCCCTCCCTTACCTTTGTGGATGTATTTCCCTTTGCTACCCTGCACTGGAGCTTCATACTGTGTAGCACTGGTAACGGCTGGGCCTGGGGGGCAAAAGATCCTAGATTCAGAGCCCATCTCAGTCCTAGGGGCCAGGATCTGGGGCCCATTACTTAACTTCTGTAAACCTTAGTTTCTTTATCAAATTATTAAATGAATTTCTTGATTATTAATGGGGATGATAATAGTGCCGACCTCAGCACCCGGTGTGAGGGTACCTGTGATCACTTACCACAGTCATATTATTGGCTCAATAACAGAGCACATAGTCCTCAGTGGCTCAGTAATTGTTTATTGATTTTGGACCTTCTGCTTCAGCCAAACCCATCTTCCCACTCCCTGCAAGATTCTGGAGCTTTCCTTCATGTTTTCATACCTTCATTTCTCAAATAGAATGTTTGTTCTTTTCTCCCCCAGTTCTGCCCACCAGAATCCCTTTCATCCTTCTGGAGCAGTGGTCAGTAAACTTTTTTTTGGTAAAGAACCAGATAGTAACCATTTGCAGCTTTGGGGGCCACCTGGTCCCTGTCACACACTACTCTCCACCCCTTGTGGGAAAGCATCCCGGGTTCCAATGAAACTTTATTTATGGATCCTGAAACTGGAAGTAATGTAATTTCCATGTATCATGAAATATTCTTGAATCTTTTCAACCATTTAATTTAAATTTAATTTAATTTTTCTTGATTATGCTTTTATTTACAGAATTTAAAGCAAGAAAGTATAAAGAGTAACGAAAACAGAGCATCGTGCACCCATGATCCCAAATTGAACCATTGGTAACCTTTTTTTTTTCATATTTGCTTTAGATTTTTAATGAAATAAATAAAACATTCCAGATTAATATGACCCTTTGTCTTAACATCCCCTTCCTATTCTGCTTTATCTCCTCTCCGAGGTAAGAACTATTGTGACTCTTCTGTGAATGCATTTTATATTTTCTATACTTTTATGTATAAATATATGTATCAATCCATATATAGCTGGAGTTAAACTGTAGCCCATGGGGCAAATTCAACCTGTGGCCTGCTTCTCTAAAAACTCCACACTAAGAATGGTTTTTATATGTAAAGAGTTGTTAAAAAAAAAAGACAATAGAAAAAAATATGTGACAGATATCATATATGGCCTGAAAAGCCTAAAATATTGACTGTCTTAGCAGAAGAAGTTTGCTAACTCCTGATACACAATATTGTCTTTGTTTTATGTTATAAAAGGGTCCTGTATCCTAAAATCATTCTGATAAAGTTTCAATCATTTTAGAATGTAAAAGCCATTCTTCATCCGTGGGCCGTACCACCGACAGGTGTCTGGGGCCGCCCTGTCCTGGAGCAAGGTGAAGTCACGCATTCCTTGCTGGACTGGATGGCTTGCAAGTGATCCCTGTTGTCTCTGAATGTGCTCCAGGAGTTTTGTACTGCTTTGTAATAATTGTAAGTTTACTGAGTGCTTAATTAGTATCATGGAGGAACTGTTTGTGCTTATTTCTTGCTTCCTAAACATATTATAGGTTCCTAGAAGCTTTGGATACCAGTTAGTCCTCTCATGTAGAATGCAGGACAAAAATGCCGTTCGCTTGTTGAGACTCTAAGATGTTCAGAGGGATAAAGGAGTGAATACAATTAACTTTAGACATTCAAAGTGATTTCTGAAATTTTCCTCCTTTCCTTCAAAATTCTTATTTTTTGTGTGGAAAGCTCACCTTCTTGTTGGCATGGCTTGAAGGTTTCGGGGCCAATTTGTTGGGGGTTATTATCAGTCTTGCCACAAGCCATGATTATAGACAACCTTACAGTAATGTTCTTCTGAGAGAGGACTAGCTATAATCCTGTGACTAATTATTGCTTTGTGTTTGACTGACTTTTTAAGTGTCCTTTCTAAGGCACCTGTTTACATTTAATCCTTATTGTGTGATAGTGACAGAACAGTGTTGTAACTACTTTACAAATGAGAAAAAGGAGGCAGAAGTTTAGTGAATTATGTGAGAGAGGCGGGAGCAAGTGTCTGGGCAGGTGCCTGGGCCGTCCCAGGCAGTGGCGTGTATATTTATAAGATTTTAGCCTCTTACTCATCATTTATTCATCTTCTCTTTTATTCTTTTTCTCTTGAAGTTGATGAATTGAAATTATTCTGGATTTCCAGGACTTCATAACTTGACAGATACAAGGACCTCTGACCAATAGATGCTTAGGACACTTGTTACATGACACACAAGTTTTCTCAAGTATGTTAAACCACTGCAGTGATGTAACCACAAAACAATGATTCTAGAAGTAAAACCAAGTTATGGAGCAGTCATTGTGCTCTGATGAACTTTGTTTCATTTAAAAAATTTAAGAAAGTTGATACTCATATTTATATATACTTTTCCCAAACCTTAGGTATTGTATCAAAAGACTATCTATATTTGTACATCATTTAAAAAATCATGGCTCTTTCAGATTCATGGTTTTTCAACAGTTATAAGCTGTAGGTGATGTATTTTAAGTCTAACAAAATATGCATAAGACCTTTACAGAAAAAAATTCTAAAGCTTTATTGAGTGACTTTAAATAAAATCTAAATAAATGGAGAGACACACTGGATCGAGGATTGGAAGATTTAATATTGTAAGGCATAAATTCTTTGGAAACTGACTTATGGATTTAAAGTAAACCCAGCAAATTAAAAAAAAAAACTAGACAAGCTGATAACAATTTTTGCCGAGGCAAAAGCACTCCTGACAAAGAAAAAGAAGTTGGAAAAACTAGTGTCCTAGGGCTCAGGAAGAGCTACAATAATTAAGATAGTGTGGAGAACTGTATTCAGTGTCTTGTCATAGTCTGTAAGGGAAAAGAATGTGAAAGGGAACATACGTGTATAACTGAATCAGTGTGCTGTACACCAGAAATGAACATAACATTGTCAATCTACTATACCTTTGTGATACTGGCACAAAGATAGAGGAATAGACCAATAGAGCACCACAAGGAGTCCGGACAGTCTCACACATACTCAAACACTTGATTTATTATCTAGGAGGCATGGAAGATAAAAGGCCAAACAGTAAAACATTTAGAAGTTGACACAGGAGTATATGTTCATGACTCAGTGGAGAGAAAGGTTTTTTTTTTTTTTGTGGGGTGGGGGGCAGGAAGGAGGTAAATTAGGTTTATTTACTTTTTAAAGGAGGTACTGGGGGTTGAACCCAGGACCTCGTGCATGCTAAGCACGCGCTCTACCACTGAGCTGTACCCTCCGCCTTAGAGAAAGGTTTGTGATATGAGATGTTACATGCCCTAAGAGTAATGGGCAAAACTCTTGAACAGGCACTTCAGAAGAGGAGAAATCCAAAACTCTGATAAACATATGTGAAGGTGTTCAACCTTGTTAATAACAAGGAGGTGCAAATTACAACCATAGTGCCATGTTACTGTGCCCCTGAATTACAGCTGGCAATACCAAGTCCTGAAGTTGGTGAGCGATAGAGCGGTCACACCACTACTGTATAGCACAGGGAGCTATATTCAGTTTCTTGTTAATGAGCTGTAGTGGAAAAGAATCTTGAAAAAAAAAGTTATGTGTATGTATAACTGAGTCACTTTGCTGTACACCTGAAACTAACATTGTGAATCGACTACACTTCATAAAAAAACAAGAATTAAAAAAAAAAAGAACATAGTCATAGCTGGCTGGTAGGAATAGAAACTGGTATGACTACTTAGGAAGCAGCTTGGCATTGCCTAGAAAGTCAGAGATGCGCAGACTCTACAGCCTGGCGATTCCTCTGTTAGAGAACTGCATATGCACGAGAGAACCATGAAGAATATCTGGAGTAATTAATTTTCCTGATATGAGCTGATTTAGTTAACATTTGAGGGCTGCTGTGTTCTGTACACAAACAGCTTTTTTTTTTCAGCGCAATGGTAAATAAATGTTATTTATATATTTTCTTATTCTGCTGAATATGTTAATAAAATCTTCCATCCAATCTGTTCTTCATTTCCCAAAACAATGCTGGGCACAGAATAGGCATTTGATAAATACATTGTTGTGTTGAAAAAAAATTGTCATATGGATTTTTAGAGGGAATACCCTTCACCATAGCTTTCTAGTTAGTTACCGCAGCTCTCTGGCTATTGAATCCTTTGCTTAATTAAATCTGTTTATGGGTCTGGGAGATTACAACCTCTCCTGGTTCCTTTGAGATCAAGCCTCGCCCAGTGATTGCATCATCTGGTGGGAGGCCGAGCCGGCAGCCGGTGGAGCCACGCTTGGTTCTGGCAGCTTTGCCTCAGAGGAAAGGTGTGCAGCAGAGAAGGAAAGAGCCGTTTACGCTCTCTCTATATACAGGGGGCCTGGGGTCACATCCCACTTCTCGGCGCTATGACCTTGGAAAGTAATAACTTTTGGTTGTTGTGAGGATTCAGGGAAACTGAGTATTTAAAGGCCGCCTCACGACGCCTGGCATGTGACAGATGCTCAGTAAGGGGCAGTCGCCACAGTTATTACTGTGCTGCTGGGTTTGTCCTTCAGTGATGTTGAGTATCCACGGTGTTTGTTTTCTGTCAGATGAACTGTGATTATGCTGATTTCTAAACTAAAGAGCTGCATCTGTTAAGGGATTCTAATTTTGTGGTCTCCCTTATCTCCTCTGGATTTGCAAATGAGTCCAACATGTGTAGCCTACACCTGAAGGAAGTGGTCCAGTAAGTGTTTGCAGGGTAGGTATGACTGATGGTTCCAAACAGGAATAAAATTCTGGACATTTTTGTTTATTTGTTTTTTTGGAGAGGAGGGTAATTAGGTTTATTTATTGGTTTATTTATTTAATGGAGGTACTGGGGACTGAACCCGGGACCTCATGCATGCTAAGCACGCACCCTGCTGCTGAGCTACACCCTCTCTGCTCTAAACAGGAATAGGATGCCACTGTTTTGTGTCTCCTTATGGAAGAAAGTGCTAATCACATAGTTTTAAAATTCTATCAAAATTTTAAGTTGAAATATGCATATTATCTAGTGAAATACGTCAGTTGAGAGAACCCTTGCGTACAGTTAAGACATATTTATTCTCTAATTAATTATTTAATAATGAAAATGTATTAAGTCATTCTTTTACTTGGAAATAAGACTTTTCTGGATTACGGTGCCTTCATGATCTAATACTCAGCTTCATAACTTAAATAGTTACTAACAGTGGGAATACACCCTTTACCACTGTAGTAACTGTAACCAACATCCCGCTCCCTCTCATCGGTGGGCCTGGGAGTAGGTAAACCAGCTGTTACTATTCCAGCTGTCAAGATAAAGAACTTTCACTTGCCTTCGCGTCCAGTATTTTCCCAGTACTCTGTACTGAGAAAACACTTTAAGAAACGTCCTGGCTTGTAGAAGACATCTCTGAGTACTAGGCCAGTGGATTGCTGGCCTTCTGTAGTAGCTTTATTAAGATGGAGGAGGTTGAAATTAGATCACAAGTGTTGATTATATGCCAGTAACACAGAGTTTTTATGAAGGCAGTAACTGCCTCATTGTGTCGTCTGCCTGGGCTCACCACCTTGTTCATCAAATGCTTGTTTTTGACCATCCTGTGTTTCATATTTAACTTTGCAGACAAGTGACTGAGGTGGAGGAATGAGAATTTGGAAATGAACAGGAGGTCAAGGCCCAAATTACCTGTTCACAGGGGAACTGAGTTGGAAATAAAGGCAGTTACTTCAAACACTGTCACTTTGCTTCTTAGTCCCAGGCAGGGCCATGGTCCAAGTCTCTTTGAAAAGAGGCTGTGCACGTTTCAG